TCGGATCTCAAACTGCCGAACTGCAGCACTCGGGTCTCGAAGTGGTACCTATTTATCTACTTGCAATTTCTTGCTTTCGAACTGCTAGGTTGGCAGGAGCTGGAACTAGAGACGGGCACTCACTCCGTCATGCGGCACCCGGGTCTCGAACTGCTGAACTACCGACCTTCCACAGCCTGCAGTTCAGTGTCTTAACCACTTGAGCCCCCGCAGCTCCTCACTGAAGGGTTTACAAGCTTGCAAAAGAGGGGAAAAGAGGTCATTCCTTTGCCATCCAAGTAGGAGTTGAAGGTGAAGCCACCTCAGGAATTCTCTCCCCGGACCCATCCCGATTGGCTCTGGCTGGTGTTTGCACCGGGTCGAATTCTTTCGGCCGTGTTCACCCTCCCCCGCCCTCTGCTCTCGCTTTCGCTCACTGAACTTTGGATGTTCCTTTTACGACCCCGCAGCTTATCTCCTGCCGAGAGGTCAGAAGTCCACTCCAGGAGTGGAGCCCGTTGCCCTCCTGGAATGTAGGCTGATGTTTGCCTACAGTGGGCATAATTGACAAATATGCCACACACCCCTCAACATTGCCCAGGCCTGGTTCCAAATCTGGAGAACTCTTACGAGAGCCGAGGGAAGGAAAGGAATTCTCCACTTCTGTTCAGCTATGTAGGACTGTCCTGGAGGACTCTGCGGCCTGTCATGCTGACGGCACCGGCCAGGAATTTGTGGCCTGCCAGGGATTAGTGCTCTCCTCCCTGTTTGCGCAGTGTTCAGCACCATAGCCGACAGAGTCTGCGAGTCTGCGTGAGTGCCAGGGTTGCCACCTCCGGGCTGGGAAATTCCTGGTCATTTGGGGGCAGAACCTGGGGAGGACGGCTTTTGGGGAGGGAAGGGGGCTCGGCTGGGATGTGCTGCCACCATGTTTGCCATTCCCTGCTGCAGGACTGATTCCTGTCATCCGGAGATCATTGTGGGAGATCTCCGGGCCCCACCTGGAGGTCGGCACCCCTAATTAAGTGACCCACGATTGGTTCAGCGGCTCCTAAGTTCCGCACTGCTGGCAGAGGGAAGTTTAAAGTGTTTGCCACGAGAAATAAAGACGAGGTTCCCGCAATCCCACAGCAACCTGCTTTAAAAAGAGAGCGCCTGTTGCAGCTATGCGTGACTGCCTGGCCTGTCCTCCTTTCAGTCAGCCTTCACTGGAAGTCAGGCCATTCTGCATGTCCTTGCACCGGATTCAATTCAATTCAATCACTCCCAGCAAGAAGACATGCTTCTCCTTTCATTTGCATGCCTTAAATACCTTAATAAAAAGGTAAAGGTTTCCCTTGCTCGAAAGCCAGTCGAATCCGACTCTAGGGTTGCGGTGCTCATCTCCGTTTCAAAGCCGAAGAGCCAGCGCTGTCCGAAGACGTTTCCGTGGTCATGTGGCCGGCATGACTAAACACCAAGGCGCACGGAACGCTGTTCCCTTCCCACCGAAGTGGTACCTATTTATCTACTTGCAATTTCTTGCTTTCGAACTGCTATGTTGGCAGTTAATACCTTAATACCTGTAGGCATACCAATAATAATAATAATAATAGTCTCCTGCTAAGTTATCTCAGGCTCAAGCAGCTGTTTCTATGGGCCCCCCCCCCCCCCCGGATAAGCTGAGTGCACTTTAGGGTTTGCTTTCATCAGCATTATACTCTTTTATCGGATGGGTCATGATTTTGTAAGTCACAACCAATGGCCACAGTGGCAGTTGCAGTGGGGGGAAAGATGCTTCAGTAAGTAAATCAATAAATTTTAACAACCCTCAGCAATGGGAAGATACTGGCTCTGCCGGCCAGCTGAACCCATAAACTCATTAGTAGTCTTCAAATCTCAAAGGGAAATGGTGGTCGGGGATGGAGAACCCTATGTATGCACATGCACCGGGCTGACAAAGCCACACCGGTTAAATTTCTGCATGGCTGAGAAAAGGCACAGGGGGGCTTCCAGAAATCTTAGGTGGTAACACAATTGCCTGCTGACCCCCGCCTCGGGGCGTGATAGAGGCCTTAGAAAGGCTCAGATGGACAGAAGCTTCTTAACTTAAGGAGATCTTTGTTTTGTTTTTGACGCTATTTTGGTTTTGCTCAGTTACAGGAACAAGGGTTCCTCTCAGGGAGAGCCAGTGTGGTTTAGCAGTTAGAGTGTTCCACTGCAATGGGGAAATCTTGGTATCCATTCTTCCATGAAGAAGAAGAGATTGGATTTATACCCCATCCTTCACTACTTGCAGGAGTCTCAGAGCAGCTTACAATCTCCTTTCCCTTCCCCTCCCCGCAACAGACACCCTGTGAGGTAGGCGGGGGCTGAGAGAGCTCTGACAGGAACTGTTCTTTTTCAAGAACAGCTATGCCTGAACTGTGGCTTGCCCAAGGTCATCCAGTAGGTGCAAGTGGAGGCGTGAGGCATCAAACCCAGTTCTCCCAGATTAGAATCCACACACTTAACCACTACCCCAAACTGGCTCTTGCTGGGTGATCTTGGACCGGTCGCTCCAAACCCAACCCTACCTCAAAGGGCTGTTGTGAAGATAAAATAAAAGAGAGGAGGGAACAATGGATATTATCCTGAGCTCTTTAAAGAAGAAGAAGAAGAGATTGGATTTATACCCCGCCCTTCACTACCCAAAGGTGTCTCAGAGCTGCTGAAAAACTCCCTTCCCCTCCCCTCCCCACAACAGACACCCTGGGAGGTAGGTGAGGCTGAGAGAGCTCTTGACAGAGACTGCTCTTTTTCAAGAACAGCTCTTATCAGAACTACGGCTTGCCCAAGGCCATCCAGCCAGGTGCAAGTGGAGGAGTGGGGAATCAAACCCGGTTCTCCCAGATTAGAGTCCGCCACTACACCAAAGTGAACTAGAAACATGAGATTCAAGGCAGCAGCTTCAAGGGTTGGTGGGGTCACGCACTCACTGCAGGACCTCGGCCATCTCGCCGTTCAGCCCCCCCCCCGTCTAAAAAAAGGGGCCTACCTCATAGGGCTGCTGGGGGGCAGTGTTCCCTCTAAGCTGAGTCAGTGTGAGCTAGCTCATCGTTTTTCAGCCTCCGGCTCACAGATTTTTGTCTTAGGTCGGGAAGGAGGACTCCAGAGCAAACTAATTGATGCAGCAGCCAATTCACTCGCTCACAACTTGAATGCCAGTAGCTCACAAAGTAGAATTTTGGCTCACAAGACTCCACAGCTTAGGGGGAGCATTGCTGGGGGGGGGGGCATATATTTAGTACACCGTTTGTAAACAACTGCATCCAGTGAAAGATTCTTTTAAAAAACTAAGAGGAAGCTTTTAGAGTGACAAAAGTCATTTTCTTCTTCTTTTCCCATTAAGTCACAGCCGACCCACCGTCACCCCATTGGATTTTCAAGACAAGAGACATTCAGAGGTCGTTTTCCCTCGCCTGCCCTGTGTCGTAATCCTGGTATTCCTTGGAGGTCTCCCATCCGAATACTAACCAGGGCCAAACCTGCTTAGCTTCCAGGATCTGAGAAGATTGTGCTGTTCTGGGTAGGGTTGCTGGGTCTTCCCTGGCTACCGGGGTGGGGTAGGGTTACCAGCTCCCCATTACATAAGAACAATGTTGAATCAGGCCAGTGGCCCATCCAGTCCAACACTCAGTCACACAGTGGCCAGAAATACCAGGTGCCCTCAGGAGGTCCACCAGTGGGGCCAGGACACTAGAAGCCCTCCCACTGTTGCCCCCCCCAAACACCAAGAATACAGAGCATCACTGCCCCAGACATAAGAACATAAGAGACGCCGATGTTGGATCAGGCCAGTGGCCCATCCAGTCCAACACTCTGTGTCACACAGTGGTCAAAAATACCAGGTGCCATCAGGAGGTCCAGCAGTGGGGCCAGGACACTAGAAGCCCTCCCACTGTTGACCCCACCCCCAAGCACCAAGAAGACAGAGCATCACTCGCCCCAGAGCCCCTACCTATACCTTGTGGCTAATAGCTACTGATGGACCTCTGCTCCATATGCTTATCTAATTCCCTCTTGAAGCCGTCCATGCTTGTAGCCACCGCCACCTCCTGTGGCAGTGAATTCCATGTGTTCATCACTCTTTGGGTGAAGAAGGACTTCCTTTTTATCTGTTCTAACACATTGGGCAACTCCTGGAGATTTGGGGATGGACCCTGGGGAGGACAGGGACCTCAGTGGGGTAGAGGGCCATAGAGCCCACCAACGCTCCCTCTAAGCTGTGGAGTCTTGTGTGCAAAAATTCCACTTAGTGAGCCACTGGCATTAAAGTGGTGAGCGAGCGATTTGGCTGCTGCATACATTAGTTTGCTCCGGAGCCCTCCTTCCTGGGCTAAGGCACAAATGTGTGAGCCGGAGGCTAAAAAAACCGTGAGCTGGCTCACACTCACTCAGCTTAGAGGGAACGCTGGAGCCCGCCCTCCAAAGCATCCGTTTTTCTCCAGGGGAACTGATCCCTGTTAAGTCTGGAGATGAGCTGTAATTCTGGGGGAGCCCCAGGTCCCACCTGGAGGCTGGTGCCCTTAACCCTGAGCCATCCGGGCCAAGGCTCTGCTCCTGCAGAGTGCAGGGGGTTGGGCTAGATGACCTGCAAGGTCCCTTCCAACTCTCTGATTCTAAGGGGCCAGAAGTCCCAACCTGACATTAAACAGTACAATGCCTAGAAACGTTCGTTCCCAAAGTGTTCGAGAACCGCAGCCGGACATCACACACACACACACACACACTTCCCAGCGGCGGCAGAAAAGCAGAGGCCCATCTGCCACCACGCCAGTGTTCCCTCTAAGCTGAGTTAGTGTGAGCCAGCTCACAGGTGTTTAGCCCCCAGCTCACACATTTCTGTCTCAGCTCAGGAAGGAGGGCTCCAGAGCAAACTAATTGACGCTGTAGCCAAATTACTAGCTCCTAGCTTTAATGCTGGTAGCTCACAAAGTAGGATTTTTGCCCACAAGACGGCACAGCTTAGAGGGAACATTGCGACTACGCACCCCACCAACCTGTTCAGCCTCCCTTCGGCCCATCTCTGTACTTCCCCGGGCTTTTGCAGAAATCCATTCCCGGCAGGGGAGACGAAAATTCACTGCCTGGCCACGGTGACACGGCTCTCTTCTGTCAAGCTTGGCGTGGAAAAGAAGGGGGCCTTTCCCAACCACCGCAGAGAGCCAGTCTCTCCCCCCCACCCCACCCCAGCGGGGCCTGTTAGGGGGGCCTCTGGCCAGGGAGGTGGCGGCTGAGGCCGTGGATAGGGAGGGGCACTCGCTGTGGGCTGCGCCAACCTGATAAGCCCTCCCTCCCCGTCCGAGCGGGGGAATTCCAAGAATTTGACATAGTAGAGAGACCTAGCAGAAAAAAAGACATGAGTTTACGGCTGCAGCGGTGGGTTGCCAGCCCCAGTCTGGGGAATTCCTGGATATTTGGGGACAGTGCCTGTGCAGCGGTGGGTTGCCAGCCCCAGTCTGGGGAATTCCTGGATATTTGGGGGCAGTGCCTGGGGGGGGGGACAGAGCTCATGGGGGGAGGGGGAGATGCGATTCCATCGTCTGCTCTCCAAAGCTGCCATTTTCTCCAGGGGGGCGGATCTCTGTTGCCTGGGGACCAGCTGTCATTCCAGGAGAACTCCAGGCCCCACCTGGAGGCCGAAGCAACCCAATTTCATCCCAGTCAGATATAAATATTCATTACATTCAATAAGCAGTAACATTCAATACCTACAGATGGTTAACTACCAGATAATTTTGCATCAGTGGGGCTTCACTTTTATACCTGACTAGGATGAAATAAGGAGTTGCGGTGGCTCAAGTGGTTAAGACGCTGAACTGCAGGCTGTGGAAAGTCGGTAGTTCAGCAGTTCGAGACTCGAGTGTGCCGCGTGACGGAGTGAGCTCCCGTCTCTAGTTCCAGCTCCTGCCAACCTAGCAGTTCGAAAGCAAGAAATTGCAAGTAGATAAATAGGTACCACTTCAGTGGGAAGGTAACAGCATTCCGTGCACTTCAGTGTTTAGTCATGCCGGCCACGGAAACGTCTTCGGACAGCACTGGCTCTTCGGCTTGGAAACAGAGATGAGCACCGCAACCCTAGAGTCGGATTCGACTGGCTTTTGAGCAAGGGAACCTTTACATTTATGCACTTTACTAAATGATGACCATAAATAGAACACATTCGTTTGCTAAAAGGTTTTTTGCAGTGTATATTTATTTATTACTAGACCCACCTGGAGGCTGGCAACCCGATCTACTTCCCCGGTTGCTGAAATCCCCGGCAACCTTCAGGGGTCAGCGGCCAATGTTTTATTAAGAAGAGAACATTTCGACAATGGCGAGGGAACCTGAGCATCTATGTCCCCTGCCTCTCGGTGACTCCGCACTCCTCACTTTAAAAAAAAAAAAAGCAGAAAAGGAAAGGTTCTTTCAGGTGAGTGTTTGTTCAGATAAAGCAAATGCGTACCCAAGGAAACCACATTCCGAAAACAGTGCAGGTTGACTGCATTTCGGTATCTGAGCGGAAGATATCTGAGGGTCGGTGGGGAGAGAGATTTAAGCAGAGGTGCCGAAAAAGAACCATAGTTTAAGTGCCGATAGAATTACGCCAGGTCCACTACACATTTCGGCAACATCCAGCCAACAAATATATTTGGACAGACTCAGGGCCTGGGCGGCATTGGAAAGAAACCACAGCCCGGGTGTCACGATCCATAGAGTCGCCAATCTCCTGGAACTGCAAGTGATAGAGATCCATAGGGTTGCCAATCTCCTGGAATTGCAAATGATAAGAGATCAGTTCCCCTCGAGAAAATAGCTGCTTTAGAGGGTGGACTGTATAGCATTATACCCTGCAGAGGTCTGTCCACTCCCCAAACTCTCTGAAGCTCCACCCCCAACATCTCCAGGAATTTCCCAACCTGGAGGTGGCAACCCTTGTTATGAAGCTGCCGGGGGGGGGGGAGAGAACATGTTTGTGCATACAAATTTCTGCATACAAATTTCTCTCTTATCTGAAGAAGTGAGCAGTGACTCATGAAAGTTCATACCCTGCCAGAAATTTGGAGAATGCGAAGCACGGTTTTTCTGCAGAGTTCAGAGTAAGTGGATTGTAGAGGATTCTTAATTCTCAGTCCTTTAGGCAGGGCTATTTTGGGGGCGGAACGCACAGGAACGGAGTTCGGGCTGGCTCCCAAGTTGGCCATGCCCAGCACGAACTCATTAGCATAATAGGCCACACCCAACAGCAGGAACTCATTAGGACTGGCTACATTAGGGGTGTGTGGCCTAACATGCAAAGGAGTTCCTGCTACAAAAAACCCCTCTGGGTTTGGACAACAAACAAGGTAAACAGAATAACAAGCAAAAGGTGGGTGTGGCTGGATAACCACACTTCTGGTAACATGCAGGTGCGGCCTAATGTGCTAATGAGCTGTGCTGTCAGGGGTGTGGCCTAATAGGCTAATGAGTTTCTGCTGTTGGGTGTGGCCTATTATGCTAATGAGTTCCTGCTCGGCTTTTTCTACAAAAAGAGCCCTGCTTTAGGTATAATGTCCGGGTGTTTGCATTTTGTAAGAAAGGAAATATCAGTCTATAACTGTGCAAGGTTTTTTTTTTGGTCAGGTCGATGGAGTTCCATTCCATGCGGCTGAATGTGCTGCCTTCCATGAAGACAGACCCAGGTGGTCAGCTGTATCGGTCTGGAGCAGTAAAACACTGGACTCTAAATCTGGTCTGCTGCTTCAGACCAACACGGCTGACGACCTGGGTCTGCCACAAATTCGGTTAGTCTTTAAGGCGCTACTGAACTCTCGCTCTTTTCTCCTGCTACAGAGATCTCTGAAGAAGCGAGCAGTGTCTCAGGAAAGCTCCTCCCCTGCCACAAATTTTGTCAGTCTTTCAGGTGCCACTGGACTCTTGCTCTTTTCTCCTTCTACAGACAGACTAACACGGCCACCAATGCCTCCCTCTAAGCTGTGGAGTCTTGTGAGCAAAAATTCCACTTTGTGAGCGACTGGCATTAAAGTTGCGAGCGAGCGATTTGGCTGCTGCATCAATTAGTTCACTGAGGAGCCATCCTTCCAGTTTGGTGTCGTGGTCGAGTGCGTGGACTCTAATCCGGGAGAACCGGGTTTGATTCCCCACTCCTCCACTTGCACCTGCTGGATGACCTAGGGCAAGCCATAGTTCTAGCAGAGTTCTTGAAAAAAGAGCCGTTTCTGTCAGAGCTCTCTCAGCCCCACCTACCTCACAGGGTGTCTGTTGTGGGGAGGGGGAAGGGAAAGGAGTTTGTAAGCCCCTCTGAGACTCTTTTGGGTAGAAGAAGAAGGATTGGATTTATACCCCGCCCTTTACTACCCAAAGGTGTCTCAGAGTGGCTTACAAACTCCTTTCCCTTCCCCTCCCCACCACAGACGCCCTGTGAGGTAGACGGGGCTGAGAGAGCTCTGGCAGAAACTGCTCTTTTTCAAGGACAGCTCTTATCAGAACTACGGCTTGCCCAGGGTCATCCAGCCAGGTGCAAGTGGAGGAGTGGGGAATCAAACCCGGTTCTCCCAGATTAGAGTCCGTGCACTCAACCACTACACCAAACTGGCTAGTGAACTAGTGAAAGTAAAGGTAAAGGTTCCCTTGCTCGAAAGCCAGTCGAGTCCAACTCTAGGGTTGCGGTGCTCATCTCCGTTTCAAAGCCGAAGAGCCAGCGCTGTCTGAAGACGTTTCCGTGGTCATGTGGCCGGCATGACTAAACACCAAGGCGCACGGATCGCTGTTACCTTCCCACCGAAGTGGTACCTGTTTATCTACTTGCAATTTCTTGCTTTCGAACTGCTAGGTTGGCAGGAGGAACTAGTGAAGGGCGGGGTATAAATCCAATCTCTTCTTCTTCTTCCCGAGCTAAGACAAAAATGGGTGAGCTGGAGGCTAAAAAACGGTGCGCTAGCTCACACTAACTCAGCTTAGAGTGAACACTGATGGCCACCCATCTTGATCTATCTCTCATCCAAGCTGGCGCATCCAAGCTAGCCATACTTTCCCCCACCCATAAGTTGCGCAGTAGGGTGAAGGGCGTCTTCCCTTCCGAGCAGGACTGCGTGGCTCCTTAGCTCGGCCCCATCTCCTGCTGTGAAGGTGCCCCCCCCCAGCTGCGCCAGCCCAGCCCCAGCCATCGTACACGATCATGCGCAGGAGGGCTTTTCTTGGCAGTGTCTTATCAGTGCATATGCATGCATCGGTCACACTAAGAGGAAGAGAAGATGTAAACAGACCGACAGTGCGGAAAGCCGCGGCAAAGTGTGCCTGCTCCAATCCCGACCTTACCGCGAGAAATTCCCTGAATCGAAACTGAATCCGGGAGGATTGGAACCAACGCTCCCTCTAGGCCGTGGAGTCTTGTGAGCAAAAATTCTATTTTGTGAGCTGCTGACATTAAAGTTCGGAGCGAGCGATTTGGCTGCTGCATAAATCAGTTTGCTCCGGTGACGTCCTTCCTGAGCTGAGACAAAAATGTGTGAGCCAGAGGCTAAAAAACTGTGAGCTAGCTCACGCTAACCCGGCTTAGAGGGAACAGTGATTGGAACACAGAGCAGAGTGCGCTGCTAGAACAAAGAAAGGGGCAGTCGGATCAGACCTCTTTCTCTCACATCCACACACCAGTTTGGGGTCAGGAAGGAATTTTTCTCCAAGCCAGATCAGCCCAGAGATCCTGCAGGTTTTTTGCTTTCCTCTGAGCATAATCACTGGAGGCACAGGTAGAAGAAGAAGAAGAGACTGGATTTATACCCCGCCCTTCACTACCCGAAGGTGTCTCAGAGTGGCTTACAATCCCCTTCCCTTCCCCTCCCCACAAGAGACACCCTGTGAGGCAGGCGGGCTGAGAGAGCTCTTTCGAGGCCTGCTCCTGAGAGAACAGCTCTGAAAGAACTTGTGACTGACCCAAGGTCATGCCAGCGGCTGCACGTGGAGGAGTGGGGAATCAAACCCGGTTCTCCCAGATTAGGGTCTGCACTCCTAACCACAACGCCAAACTGAAAGGGAAGATAGTTGTGAATTTCCTGCACTGTGCAGGCATTATTCTAGATAAACCCTTGAGATCCCTTCCAGCTCTATGTTTCTGTGTTGCAGAAGGGACCCGT